AGCAGAACCGAGGTCCCGCGGTAGCAGGGCCCTCCCCGGGGGCAGTGCACTGGGACCCCCAACAGCCCTGCCTCACCTTGTGATCTTTGCCATCCACTTCATAGACCGAGATGTTGTTCTTCCTGTAGATCTCCTTCCCTGGTGGCTGTCTCCACTGGCATTGGCCCTGCCACAGAAAAACTGTCGGGCACTGGCCAAGCCAACACAATGCTGCTGGTGCCCCTCAATCCTGACACAGCCCCCAGCTCCCCTGTAAGCGCTGGCAGGGTCCCTCAAGCCCAAGCCCCCCTGCTATCCCAGCCCTGGACAAGCCCCTCCCCACAACAGATACGCCACTGCCCCGGGCTTCCCACCTCCACAGCTCCGCCGCCACTAGGGCTTGGCCCTTACTTACTAGGTGGTACCTGTAGCTCTTCTCGAACTTCATGTATTTCAGACAGTACTCGCAGATCCACAGCTTGGGCTGCTTCCCATAATCCTCCGGGAAGGGGGAGAAATACCAGGCATCGATCTCATAGTGGCCAATGTGGATCTTATCTACGTATTTCACCTTGGTGATCTGGGAGAGCAGGGAGCAGAGGACACTCCAGGTTAGCGATCAGAGGAAGGGCCCGGGGTCCCGCCCTTTTAGATGCCAGGCCAATGCCCTGGGCCACTCACCGCCTCATGCTCCTTCTCCAGGGCAGCTGTGGTGGGATCCATCTCTGCGTAGGTCTATGAGGAGACAACCCAGTATCAGGCAGCTGCCACACTCCATCACAGAGTTTAACTGAGGCCACACTGAACCTTTCACCCCAACCCCTACAGCATAGCGCCCCCTGGTGTCAGCACTGACTAGGAGGGAAGACTGCTCCCCTTTGAGCTCCCCAGCCCTGATCCTGGCAACATCCCTTCCCCCCAGTGCACTTGCCTTCTGAACATGGTTGATCTCGTCATGTTTGCGCTTCTGGTTGCGGGTGATCTTACGCTCGGGTTGCTCTGACAGCTCGTTCATGTACTGGTCTGTGTTCTTCTGCACTGCATCTTTGACTGTCTTGGTGAGGGCCAGCCGGTTCTTATCTACCCATTCATCCAGGCGCCGGTTGACTGTGGTTAAGATGGGGCAGTAAGGAACCTATCCAGCTTCTATCTGTAGAGTGACAGTCTCACCATGTCCCAAAACACTCAACACCTGGGCACTGGAACCAAACGGTCCTGATTCCTGGGTATTTTAGCCCTCTAGAAATCACACCCCTGCCAAAGTCAGGTAGAGCAGATATATCCTTAGATCTCCAGTGCTATAGAAGGGCAAAGTCCTCTTTGCCCCTAGGAAATCCTGTAATGAGGAATTCTGCAGGGTAATTTCCCATAGATTTGTGGGGGTATGGGTGACAGACTCATGGTAAAGGTGAAAATGAGGCAGTTATGAATATGAACTATGGGGAGGAAAGGAATTAACAATATCACACTCTTAGGTGCTTCCATAGTGAACTTAGTAAATAGTCACCCACATTAATCCCCCTCCACAGGAACAAAACCCAGGGCCGTACTCACATCCGACATAGTGCACATAGTATTCCTCCCGGGCCTCCTGCTCGTTGAGTCGTGACTGAATCACCTCGGCTGAGTCTGCAAGACAATCACCAGGTTAGTGCCAGCTTAGATGAGCAGAGGAAGTAAGAACAAGTGGGTTAGGTGCAATGTATGCCCTGAAAAATGGTAGCCCTTTTACACTGAATGACAGACAAATGCTTTACTAAGGTAAACAATGAGAAGTCCTTTATGGACTAACAGATTTACTGGAGCACAAGCTTTCGTGGGCAAAGACCCACTTCGTCTCATGCATCTGACTAAGTGGGTCTTTGCCCTCCAAAGCTTACGCTCCAATAAATCTGTTTGTCTATAAGGTGCTACAGGACTTCTCGTTGTTTATGCAGATTCAGATTAACATGGCTACCCCCCTGATACTTTACTAAGGACACATCTGTCTCAGGGGGAAAAGCCTTCTTAGTGCAGAATTAGAGCACCCACCCATAGAACTCACGTGGAATAACAGCTATGCTTTAGATTTACCCTCTGGTTTATTTTCCAATAGCTTCCCCATGAAATCTCAGAGATTTAGGACATATTTAAATTTCTCCTATTTCAGGCAGTTCTATAATGTCAGTTTACACTGGTGCAGTGAAAAAGAGTGGGAATGGGACGTATTGGGAGGGGGAAGCCTTTATGCCATGTCCTGTGGGCACATGGTTGGGAAAGTCTGAGGGCTAAGTGGCACTGGTGATCAGAGAGATCAGGACCTACTTTCACAAGAGGGGCAGGTCTCTCACCCCAGGACCCGTCTGTGCGGCAACACAGAGCTAGAGGATGAAGGGGGAGAGCTGGAAGCCCTGGGCTTATCCTGACTAAAGATGTTAAATTGCAGTTAATTGACTAGTTGATGGAGTTTCCATCAGCTCGTCGGTAGGCACCTGCTGGGGCTCTTGTACATTTCGAAGGAGGAATGTGGAACTCTGCAGGCAGCAGGAAGTCTTTGGGCTGCACTGGGACAGCTTTGAAATGTACAAGACTCTCCAGCAGGGGCTCTTGTGTATTTCAAAGCCACAGTGCCCTCATGGAGCCGAGGTCAGGACTAGCTGGGGAAGGGGGGGGGGTACGGGATGGAGGGATGGACGAGGACTCAGAGTCCCCTGCTGACCCCGGGGCTCCATGCTGGCGGCATGCCTGGCTCAGCTGTGCAGCGCTGCTGCTTTGAAATGCCCCTTCTCCCCCCCCCTTGCCTTGCTCTGATACAGCAAAGGGGGGTGGGGGGGGAGTCGACTAGTCCCGCACATCTCCAATCCCGACAGGGCTTCTCTGGGGCCGGGTCTCTCCCACAGGGGCTGGGGGCGGCGCAATGGGAGTGAGGGCAACAGGCGGG